CCTTGCCTGGACAATATGGGTTTGTCAAATGTCACTTTTTAAACAATCAATATGCATGATGAGGAAATACTGTGGTATGTACAATGAACAAATATTAAGAATTCCAAACTGAATAATAACAACATTTCCAGAGCATAAAAAAAACCCAAGTTGTTTTCCTTTGAATGTAGTTAGCCAAAATAAGAACTTTTGATTTCTCCAATTCCATACATTCAGTCTGAATGTATGTTTCAAAGTGACTGGTAAATCATCTTCCTTTAAGGAAGGATGCTCAAAGCTTCCAATATCATGGTCCCACAAAAAGGAGGGAAAAACAAATGACTTATTTATATTTAGGGTTGGCAAAGAAATTGATATAACTTCTAGTTTAACAATTACATTTGATTTACCTATCAAATTAAACAGTGTAGAATTTTAAAATTTTATAAATTTAAATTCTTTCACTAGAAATAAAGAAACAAAACTTAAACCCCTATTTTAATAAGAGAGATGAACTGGCTTACTTATAACCCTGAAATTTGAGTTTCATTTTGAAGGCAGCCATTGTTATTCACCAAAATGAGGGGAAGAAGTAAAATGGTGTTTCATTGTCTTTGTTAAACTGCTGTTAAAATGCTACGGCTTCCCAAACTCTGAAAGTTGATGTTGAAGCTCTCTCTCTCTCTCTCTCTTAGTCTGACCCTTCTTCCCCTCCAACAAATTCCTTCTGCACAGTGAGAACCAGGTCAGATAGTGAAAGGTTTGTGCAGAAGTCACTTGCCCTCCTGGCATTATAACTTCTCCTTTGGAAAGCAAATATAGTGAGTGAAAAATAAAATGAAAAGGACACTCAGACTTCATACAGGGCTCTGGAACCAACATATTCCTTTGCGTTTAGCATACTTTTGCATCTAACTGATAAGCCAGTGTGTCTCAAAAGGACTTGCAAGGAAGGTGACCATCAATTGTCTCACCATGCGCGGGGGGGGGTGTATTATGATCCATACTTTGAGAAATGCTGCCTCAGGAAAACCCTCCACATAACTAATCTTCTCTATTGCCGTGCAACTCTCTTAACATCTTCCTGCTAGTTCCTTTTGGAGTTTTAAAAATGTTTTAGCATGTTTATTTTCAATACTACATTGTTAACTTTTATAATTCTAATTTTGAAAACACCAGAGGAAGCAGAATTATTTCCAAGGCTGATTTTTTCCCATCTTAGAAACAAAGAGACCTCTAAAAAAACTGCAAGGATTTGAATTACAATAGTATAACCAAATACAAGGTAGGCTCAGAAGAAGAAAGTGAAATAGAGAGAATAAAAAGTGCAAAAATAAATAAAGAAAAAAAGGAATTGTTTAGAAAAGAAAGAAAAAGAAGAGAAAAAAATATAAAGAAGTGGCTTCCAATCTTCTTAACAACAGTTACAGATGCATTAATATTTTACCTCTTTTATCCTGTGTGGAAGTAGTTTCTTTATAAGGAATGCTGTGCTGCTGAAAGGCAGATCACAACTACAGCACAGCTGAATTGCTCAACAACAGGATTTTACATGGTTCTGAGGCAGAAATGTAGTGAATTCTTTTTTTTTTGAAAAATTTTTATTTAAATTTTCAATACATATAATACTTTCCATACATTATATAAAAAAAATAAAAGAGAAAAATACGTTTAAAATAGAACCTTAGATGTCGCTCGTCTATCTCCCCCCGACTGCATTCGCCCTCTCAGCTTTCCTTCCTTACTTCCCTACTCCCTCTCTCCTCTCTCTCATCTCTCCCCTCACCCCTTCCTCCCATCCAACTTCCTTCCATCCTTCCTCCTCCCCTCTTATCCCTCTTCGGATACAGTTCAGGGGAAATACCCGAGCGGCACCTCCCTCTAAAATACTCTATCTATTTTATACATTAATATTTCTATATAACTAACCTACTTAATCCCACCCGTCCCCTCCCACACTAACCCCCCCCCCGCTTCCCAGAGCAAAATACAGGGTTATTGTAAACAAAATAAACACAATCTATAACTTTTAAAACAAAAAAATATATACAATAAACAAATTCATACATAACCCTTAACTCCCTCTAAACCAGTGGTTCTCAACCTGTGGGTTGGGACCCCATTTGGGGTCGAATGACCATTTCACGGGGGTTGCCAAACCATGCTGTCCGCCATTTTTTTCCCTTTTCCCTAGCTGTCCTACTCCCTCTTATTGGTGGCCACACCCACTTGAGGGTCACCACAACATGGGGAACTGTATTATGGGGTCACGGGATTAGAAAGGTTGAGAATCACTGCTCTAAACTTTAAAAATAATAAAATAAACAAATCTACTATAAATCAAATATTATAAAATTCTATAAATAATAATTATTACTTCAAAAAAATTAATCATAAAATAAATGGAACTTTAAAATTCCATATTTATTCTGAATATAATCTATCCACCTTCTCCACACTATGATAAATTTTTCTTGTGTATGGTCCTTTAAATAAGCAGAAATCTTTGCCATTTCTGCTAAATTGGAAACTTTAAGTATCCATTCTTCTAAAGTAGGCAGCAAATTCTTCTTCCAATATAAACCCACAAGTAACCTTGCTGCAGTTATTAGATTCAACATTAAAATAGTTTCATTAACATCTAAATCCATAAAAATACCCAATAAAAATAATTGAGGAGTAAACCTTATCTTCTTTTTAAAAATCTTTTGAATGTTCCACCAAATCATTATCCAAAAAGCTTTAATCTTCTCACAGGTCCACCAAACGTGAAAGTAAGTTGCATCAATAATACCACACCTCCAACATTTGGGCTGTAAGTTAGGATACATACAAGACAATTTTTGGGGATCCAAATGCCACCTATAAAACATTTTATAAAAATTTTCCCTCAAATTTTGGGCCTGTGTAAATTTAACATTTCTAATCCAAATATTCTCCCATTGATCCAATAGAATCGGTTCCTGGATATTCTGAGCCCATTTAATCATACAATCTTTTACTAACTCCGTTTCCAAATCCAATTTTATTAACTCATCATAGATTCTTTTAATATGAGCATGATTCTGATCTTTAATCTGAACAATCAAGTTTTCATCTCCTAGTGTTATTCCAACTTTCTTATCTACTGTCCACCTATCCACAATTTGTATGTATTGAAACCATGAGTATGAAATATTTTCTTGTCTTAATATGTCTAAAGATTTTAGCTGCCAATCATTACCTGACCAAATTAATAATTCCTTATATGAAATTTTATTGAAATTCATCCCCTTAGAGACTCCCTCAATTACATGTCCAGGAATCCCCCAAATAGGTATTTTATAATTTAACCTATAATAATACTTCTTCCAAACTCGAAGAAAAGCATTCCTTAAAATATGTGATTTAAAAGCCCAATCTACTTTCTTATTAAAAATCAAATAAGCATGCCAACCATACAATAAATCCCACCCTTCAATAGAAAGAACATCTTTATTTGTTAAATTAAGCCAATCGCTTATCAAAGTTAAGGTGGCTGCATCATAATATAATTTCAAATTGGGTGCTTTAAGCCCACCTCTTTCTCGGGCATCTTGCAAAATCTTAAACTTTACCCTTGGTTTTTTCCCAGCCCAGATAAATTTGTTAATACCCTTTTGCCATTCGTCCAAATTTGCATCTTTTTTTAGAATAGGTAGTATTTGAAACAAAAAAAAGAAACTTTGGTAGAACATTCATTTTTACCACTGATATTCTTCCCAACAACGACAATTGCAACTTTTCCCAGTCATTTAGATCCTTTTGTACTTTTGCCCATAATAATTCATAATTGTTCTTATATAGTTTACCATTAGAAACTGTTATATATACTCCCAAACATTTAACCTTTTTCACCATCTGGAAACCTGTAAGTTTAACTAAAATTTCATTTTCCTTATTAGACATATTTTTAGATAACATTTTAGTTTTATTATTATTTATTTTAAAACCAGAAACTTTTCCATATTGAGATATAATTTTCAACAAGTGACCAGCTACTTGAGTAGGTTGTACTAAAGTTAAAACCAAATCATCTGCAAAAGCTCTCAATTTATACTCATTCCTGTTTACTTTTATTCCCTTAATTACTCTCTAATTGACTCTCTAATCTGAATTAACAAAATCTCCATTGTTAAAACAAATAATAATGGAGATAATGGACATCCTTGTCTTGTTCCCTTTTCAATATTAAAAGTCTCAGTCAGACTCCCATTGATAATAATTTGAGCAGACTGTTGCTGATATATAGCCTTAATGACATGTAAAAACTTATCTCCAAAATTCATTTTCTCTATCAATAAAAATAAAAATTTCCAATCTAGTTGATCAAAAGCTTTCTCAGCATCTAAAAATATGAAAGCCGCAGGGATCTGATTATTCTTATCCAAATAGTCTATTAAATTAAGAATTTGCCCTACATTATATTTCATATATCTTCCTGTTATAAATCCTGATTGGTCACAATGAATCAAGTCCTTCATTACTTCTATTAATCTATTAGCCAAAATTTTTGAAAAAATCTTATAATCCACATTTAAAAGAGATATAGGTCTATAATTCCTAGGTTCAGTAAGATCTTGGTCCTCCTTTGGGATCAATGATATAAACTCACTCCTCCATGAAGGGGGAACTTGAGCTCCCAACAAAATACTATTAAAAAGCTCCTTTAATGGCTCCATCATTTCCTCAGATAAAATTTTATAATACATTGTGGTCAATCCATCTGTGCCTGGAGACTTTCCCACTTTTAACTGTTTAATAGCTAAACCAATTTCCTCTGAGGTAATTGAACAATTCATCATAATTTGTTGTTCATTAGAAAGTTTAGGAAAATGCGCTGATTGTAAATACTTTTCTACTTCTGCAACATGTATATTATCACTAGCATATAATTTTATATAAAAATCTAAAAAACTCTTTTTAATCAAATTATATTGAAAAACCTCAGTACCTTTATATTTTACTTTCTCTATAATTCTTGCTTTCTGTTTCTTACGTAATTGATAAGCTAACCACTTCCCAGGCTTATTTGCATTACAAAAAGTATTATGTTTCATATAACGAAATTTGTCGCCACCTGATCTGCCATCAACATATTAAATTGTGCCCTAAGTGTATTTATAGCAGCCTTTAACCTATTATCCATCAGATTCAAAGCAAAGGCTTCTTCTTTTAATTTAATCTCTTCTTCTAATTCTTTACATTTTCGTGTCAAGTTACCCCTAAATACATTATTCATGTGAATCAAAATTCCCTGCATATAAGCTTTACTAGCATCCCACACCATAGGCATTGATGTTCCCTTATTCATATTTAAAACAAAAAATTCCTTCAAATGTTCTTTACATTTTTGTACAAACTCCTCCCGAGTGAACAAATTCTCATTCAGTCTCCAGGATCTTCCAGTCCCCTCTTCCACAAATAACTCCAACCACACAGGGCTATGATCCGACAATGTCCTAGGAAAAATCTTAACCTTCTTGACCCTAGAAAAAAAATCATTGGAAATTAAAATAAAATCAATCCTTGAAAATGATTGATGTCTGTCTGAATAAAAAGTGTAATCTCTGTTATTTATATTCGTTTCATGCCAAACATCAATAAGTTCCAACTCATCTCTCATATCAAAAAATGCTTTAGGTAGTTTAGATTAAGTAAGAGTTTTGAAAGTGCCCTTTCTGTCCTTTCTTGAATCCAAAACTCCATTCCAATCTCCCATCATAATTACATATTTGTAATCCAATTGAGTTATTTTTCCATGCAAAAACTTATAGAATTGCTTCTGTTGTTGATTAGGGGCATATATTCCAACAATAAGAAGTCTCTTGCCTCGTAATACTAAATCTATAAAAACATATCTTCCTTGAGGATCAGATTCTATTAATTCAGCCGATAAATTTTTCTTCACATAAATTACAACACCCCCTTTTTTCCCCGGAGCTGGAGCCATAAAATGTGATCCCAAACGAGAATTAGTCAAATATTTAGAATTTTTTAAAGTTATATGAGTTTCTTGCAAGCATATTATGTCATTATTATGTTGCTTCAGGTAATGAAAAACTTTTTTTCCTTTTCTGTGGTGAGTTCAGGCCATTAACATTCCATGTCAGGAGCTTTGCCATCCCTACCGACCTGAAGCCTTTGAAGCATGGCTTGAAGATCAATTGTTGAAGATCTTTTTGGTCTTGCTCCTCCTACAGGTTCTGTAGTAGTAGTACCTACTGTTGTTTCACTATACTTCTGCTGCTTCTCTCTACGTTTATACGCAGCTCTTGTCATCCTTTGTTCTTTTATCTCCAAATTTTGTGCAGCAGGTTGACCTTGTACTTTTCTAACAATCAGTGAAGTTGCTCCTCCAATTATCTGCTCTTCTTCAATTTTACTGGTTTGTAAAGATGAGGAGGAACTTGCCTTCAAAACAGAGTTATAAAATTCTTCTGCCTTTGATACTGTAGTTAATCTATAACACTTTCCTTCATAAATCACTGCTATTCCAGTTGGAATCTCCCATCTAAACTGAATTTGACGACATTTTAACTCCTCAGTTAGAAAAGCAAAATCTTTTCTTCTTCTTAGAATTTTTGGAGGTATCTCTTTTAAAATCATAACGTCTTGAGCTGCAATTTGGAACCTCTGTTTATAAAAAGCCTCTGTTTATAAAATTTCATTACGTATAGATCTTCTTGAAAAATAGATAACCACATCTCTGGGTAAATTTTTTTGTCTGGCAACCCATGAATTAACTCTGAAATTTTTTTCTATCTCATTCCAAATTTCCTCCAGTTTCCATCCCAGATTAAAAGTGATATCATTAATAATTACCTCCTTTAAATCTTCTTGCTGATTTTCTTTCATCCCTCTAATACGCAGTGCAAATTCCATATCTCTATACTGTGAAATAATTAATTCATCTTGTGTCATATCTATCTTGTTCTCAACTTCTTCAACCCTACTTTCCAGTCTTGCTGCGTTTTCAGTCACCTCTTCCATTTTGTCATCAATTTTCTCAATATGCATAGGTAAACCTTGAAATGCTAAAATTATATCTTCCCTTATTTCTTTATTTTTCCCCTCCAATAATTTTGCCATAACAGCTCTCTCTGAAGCCATTTTACAATCCAAAAGATCAGCTACCTCCTCTTTAATATCCAAATCATTCTTTTTTAAAGCTTCTTGTAAATCTTTGTGAAATTGCAGATGGGGGAGAGGGAGGAGGTGTCTTTGGCTTAGGCTGAGAGACAGTCTGAGTCTGAGTCAATGGAGAGGAAATAGAGGCTTTAGGGACAGAGGAAGCCAGACGTTTTGAAGCCATCCTTATAACTTTACATCTTAGGATTCCTGCCTCTATACACAAACTGTAACAATTTCAATAGGCTAAGTCCATTACTCTGAAGAAACTTTGTTGCAAAAGTCAGAGAAAGTGAAAGTCTTCAAACAAAGACAGAGAATTCCTCCACCATTTTTTTCCCTTTTTTCTTCCCCTAAATGTGGTGAATTCTTTAATCAAGATGTTTAGGTTATCTCTGAATTTTTCGGCTGCTTCTCTTCTACAAGAATTTATGTTTTTCCTCTGAGATGGACATCTCTGTCCTAAATATATTCCTTTTTTTTATTAGTACAGAAGAAAAAAGTCTTAAACAATCAAGCAATCAGCAGAGAGAAACCTTAACTTTCTTAGTAACATATATTTAAACCACGCTTAAAGTATTACTGCCTATATGTAACATTCAAAGTGCAAGAGGGCTTTGTCGAAGTGCCTCCGTAATCATTTTTTACTCAGACCAGTTGATGAAGATTATAGTCATTTTGTAGTTCTGAAGTACAGCTCCCAGGTAATCCATAAAGTAGAAAAAGCTACAAGGAGTCCTGGAAAATGAAGATAATGTACTCTTTTTGTTGTTTGTACCATTTAAACTATAATCTCATTCTCCTCCTTCCATGCTCAGTACTGAAGTGGGTTATCACATTCAGTATAGGGCACTTTGCCCTTAATCAGATGAGACAATAGCAGTTAAAACATATGGAAATCAGAAGAAATAACAGCAGCTACTCAGACATGTCAAAAGATTAGGTAACCATAGAGTAAATGTGCACAATTTACTCAATTTTTTTTTTAAACAAACATTTGGAATATTGTATTAATTCGTTTTTCCTGTATCAAAGTTACATGTCCTCCAGCTGTTTCTCCCAAAGTATCAGCAGTACAATGAGTAGAACTACTAGTGTGCCTTTGATAAAAGAATTAACCCAGTGGTGTGATTCAAATATGTGAACAACCAGTTCTCTGTGTGGATGCTGTTTCTGGAAGTTCATTCTGGGCCTGGGCAAAAAAAAAAAATTAGCTACCGGTTCTGCCAAAGTGGTACAAACCAGCTGAATCCTACCACTGAATTGACCCCAGTTGGGTTTTTGAATAGTTCTCAGTTTGGCTGGTTCAGTCATGTAAACTCATCTCCCTACTGCGTGAACTGACTGCTTTAAAAACAATGTCTTTAGTATTGAATGATATTTTTATCATTGTTCACACATGCGAGTCCTGACTAAATGATGCCACTGTTATTCAATGGGGAAGCATATCAGAACTAGCCCATTGGAAAAGATTCTTGGCTTGGTTCAAATTCAGCCTGGCAGAAAATTTAATTAAATCTGCATATATCACCTAGGGTGCCACTATATCATTGATAGGAGTCAAGAGTCTTGGTTTTCATAAAAAGACAGATGACGAAAAGAGGAGGATGAGCCCTCTTTTGTAAAAAAAAGAATGATTTTGCAATCTTCTTTTAGAAGGAGATTGCGTATCTTGAAAAACCATGGGGTATGTAACAAGGACATGTGTCGTCTTGGCATTGCTATAATGTCATTTGTTTATTTCTTCCTTTCATGGCATAGAGATGTCTCACCTGCTTCTTCATCAGTGAGTGGTTGAACTTCCTTTTCATTTTACTAGATCCAGGTGCCTTTCTGCCTTTCCATCTGGCTGTAATGTCAATACAATCAAAAATCAGTTTGCCTGCTAATAAAAGTTATAATTATTGTTGTTTTGGATACTTAGCTAATATTCTCTAAGTTTTATCTACTAGTCAATAGTCCTTGACTTATGACCACAATTGAGTCCAACATTTCCACTGCTAAGCAAGACCATTGTTGAGTTTTACCCCATTTTACAAACTTTCTTCCACAGTTGTTAAATGAATCACTGCAGTTGTCAAGTTAGTAAGACAGATGTTAAGTGAATCTGGCTTCGCCATTGGCTTTGCTTGTCAGAAGTCGAAAAAGGTGATCACATGACCCTGGGACACTTCAACCATCATAAATACATGCCAGTTGCCAAGCATCCAAATTTTGATCATGTGACCACAGGGATACTGCAACAGTTGTGTGAAAAATAGTCATAAGTCACTTTTTTCAATACTGTTGTAACTTCAAACTGTCATTAAATGAATGGTTGTAAACTGAAGACTACTTGTATACGGACAATCTCCCCCAGACTGCTAATTTTTAGGCAATATTTTTATCCTGCCCAAAGAGGATTACTCTTTGGGTTATTTCATGTGTTTGAAGCTTTTCTCTATACCACTAGAGACAGGATAGAGATCCTTGCTCCAGATTGAAAATATAACGCTAACAATAATATATTAAGCTTGTAGGGTGCCTGAATTTCAATGACTCTGGGCAGCTCACAACCATCAAACAAAGAAAAAAACCCAGTAACATCAGTAAAAAATAAAAGATGGCATACACAATAAAGGTCTTCCCAGCTGTTCTCAACAACAGGGTGGGTTCCAAATTGGAGCCAAAAATAATGTGGCCACAAACTAATAACAAAATTGTAGTTCGATTTTGTTCTTTGATCCAAAGCACAAACTGATATTTCCTTGTAACAGTACCTTTTCTGGGTCTCATGGTTTTTTCCCTAACTTGCTGGCTCCTCCCCCACCCAATAATTAACTTATTTTGAAATTTATTTATATTGTGCTATGTTCCCTCCCCTTTGAGGTATAAAATTATATTTTAAAATGATACACGCAAAAGATTATAATTTTTGTGAATTATAATGATTTTAGGGGCTTGTCAAGTTTTTAACTGTAATTGCTATGACAACTTCTCCCACAGATAGAGACATTTATGGCAAAAGCTCAGCACAGGATAGAAGGGGATTTATGGAAGAAGTTTGATCAAAAATGATGAGAACAGAAGCATGCTACTTGTTAATACGATTGCTATCTCTGTACCTGGGATTTTGCTGCTTCTGCATTCAGTATTTAATAATAACTTGGAATGTTTTAAGACTGGACATTCATCCTCATTAAAGAGAAAGCTTGAAATGCTCCATGTGAAACATTATAGAAGAAATCTCTTTTTTTGGAAACTATATACATTAAGATAAATTTATCATAATTTTATATTCCCCCAACCCTGAAGCCCCAAGGTGGTTAAGAAAGATTTTTTTTCAATCATGACTAAGATTACATTACTGACACAGACATATGTGGATGATTGAACAGTTTATTGGTTTTAAATATTGTCTACTATGGTTTATATTTGTTCTGTATGTTTCTGTTCTCTTTCTCCTTCTTAACAAGCATCTGGGAGGGGCTGACCTCTGAGTCATTACACTGATGTGGATGTTACTGGATTATGGGATCTTTTATATCAGTTTTCCATGTTTTCTAAGTGAGGCTTGTATCATCTGAACTGTGCGTGATCACCATCCAATTTGCTTAGCTTTGGGTCTGGTTCATGTTTTCTTTGATGTTGTTCATTGGCCCTGTCACTTTGTAGGTAGCTTTCTCCATGGCAGTCTGAAGCAAAGTGATGTAGTGTCATTCTGCATACAGGTTAAAACTATCTTAGTCTATGTCGGAGGCTGATGAACCTGAGTTTTTTCTTTTCCTTATGAATTGTATTGCTGCTTTATGGATTGTGTTTCCTGGGACTTTAAGAGAGCAAAGGACTACACCTGTACCTGAGTAAAAGGAACAGAATTCCCAACCCTTAAAGGTAAGGGCTTGGAAAAGAACTATGATAATTCTACCTTATTGTTGGAAAAGGTGGGCATTTAAAAAAAACACTGGGAAAAAGGGAAATCTATACATTTGTAATGTATTGTCACTTTTCAGTTATATTTATAACATTGTCACTTATAAATACATCGTTAGGCATAGATCAGTAGATTAGTTGTACATATGAGGGTTAACACATTAGAAGTGTATATTTTGTATAATAAACGTTGCAATCCCAAAGGTGCTTTTTCAAGAGGCAACTGGACATTTGTTTTTCTTTGAAGACATTTTGCTTCTCATCCAAGAAGCTTCTTCAACTCTGGTAGGTAAGTAAACATTGCATTAATATCAAAGGAAAATGATCAGCTTCCTATTCTTTGATTTGTGCTATAATTTAACTGCAACCCTTTTACAGTGTATAGTTTTGCATTTCATCCTTGGTCATATATTATTCACTGCGCCTCAGTCTGATAGTTTCATTCTTGAGACAATTGTATAGAGAGACATTTATATCATAGGCACCACATTAGGAAAATATCAAGTTAGGTCTGCTTTTAACAATGACCCTGCCCAGATCTTGATTAGAAAACTGGTAAGATCAGTAGTCAGAAGATGTGGATGTTTGTTTAACTGAAACAGTTTTGCACTGCAACACTTCTGTTTTCTGTTACTCCACCAGCAACCCAAGATTTTTGAATGGATTAACCTGCTCTATTTAAATCCCACTGAAATAACAGATAGCAGACCATGATCCATTGTGAAAATATTGCTTTGTAGGCATTTTCAGGACATACGAATAGGCAGTGTTCATATGACATCTGTGTATGTCTGAGAGAGTGCCAATGTGCTGTAGTTATTAAGAGGCTGGAATAAGAATGAGATCCAAATTGTAATCCTTCCTTAAGCACAGAAGGCATCTGGGTGGCTTTGAGCCAATCACTTTCTCTCAGTCCCAGACTGGGGTATTGAAAAACATCTGTTTGCCAACCTATCCTAGACCTGTAATCTATAACCTTCCAGTGAATAGGTTTTTCTTTCTGCAATTCACTGTTTAAATAGATGTTACATTAAACCAGAAAAAATAGCCAAAGTTGAAACCAAACAAGCTTAGCATGTTGTACAAGGATAGTTGGCAACTCTTTAACTGACCTGGTTAAGGAATTTGTATAATTATAGCAAAAAAAATTGTTTAAGCATTACCTTATTGTTTAAAGCAGAAAATAACTGGAAAGATAACAAACTCTAGGAATCAGGAATGAGAGGAAAAGAATTCCCCACAATTACAATAACAGTATATTATATCAGTCCAGAAATAGGGAGATATTTTCTGCAAGTCAAATCAATAAAAACATTAGCAAATCCTGGATATGTTAATCAATTGGAAGACCAAAATGCATAGGGGCAAGTGTCATTTGCTTTTTCTTTCTTCCCTGTATTTCTGGGTGTGTGAATAGGCTATCTGTTTTCAGAGAATTGGAGTCCTGGTTGAAAAGAATACATTACCATGGCTGAATAGACAACCTCTGCTTCCAAAAGTAGCATCTTCATTATTTGGCCCTCAGGTGTGTTTGTGTTTATGATTTTATTGCCTTTCTGATGATAGTAAAATAATATTTATTTTCACATGTTTCAAGTTGCCATATTTAGTGAACTTTAATTCCAAATTACTTTTCCTGCAATCCATCCTTTATCAGGCTGCAAGAGAAGTGGACTGTTTTCTGGAGGTATTTTTATCTGAGATCAAGAACATAAATGAACTTTGAATTCAGCAAGCTAAACAGATATATGAAAAGAGAGAGGCTCTCTGTCTCTGACACTTCTAACACTACGCTGGATCTCACTTATCACTATCCAATGCAATGCATATCAAAATGAGCCACACTTCATAATGAATGGCTTTTCTATTGCAGGCATATTTCTATCTCAGGGGCTTTGCTCAAGAGGCAAATCCATTAGGTTGTGAAGTAACGATGTTTTCTTTGGATTCTGTCAAGGTGTCACTATGGTTACAAGCAGTAACAGCTTTGTCTTGCACATTTCTTAAGGCAGACAGGAGTGAGAATGTGAAACTGCTGGCAGTTCGGCAGCCAAGGCTGTGTAGATGTCAAGGCTCTGTTTATATAGGAAAGCCAGAAGAAGGTAAAAAGAGTGGTTGGCTGAAAAACATCTTTAATCCTTCAGGCCAACATGAAATATCCAAGGATATGTTCCTAATCTTATTTAGAATGGTGAGGATGTTCTGAATGGGAGGGGAGAAAAAAATTGTTTAGTAATATATGTTTCTTGATTAGCAGGCAGTTTGGAAATATAAGGAGACTAGATAAAGTTAAAACCTCAACTTTTATTTTTTTTATCCTGCCTGTATTATTTTTATAAATAACTCAAGGCAGAGAATGTACCTAATACTCCTTACTCTTATTTTCAATACAACAACCCTATGCGATGAGTTGGACTGAGATAGTGTGACTAGCCCAGAGTCACCCAGCTGGCTTTCATGCCTAAGGCAAGACTAGAAATCACAGTCTCCTGGTTTTTAGCCTGGTGCATTAATCACTAGACCAGATTGGCTCTACCTGCAATAAAGATTTAATGATTAAGTGACCTTTCCCTTCTAAAAGATGATGTTGCTGCAGATAGTCTTTACCTGTTGAAAAAGCGTGCTTGGGACCCACTACTGTAGTATAATTTTTAGGTGATAGATTGGCCATGGAACCGATGAGGAAGAAGAATGAAATATAATGTGCAGCACCTATAGAATTTGAAATATCATTGGAAACAAAAAAAATAAATTAATAATTAAAGACAGAACCCAATGAGAGGTGTGTCAAGAGGAATTGACTATCCAGAACTCTGATCAGCTTTGCATGATAAAAAGCAACATTGTTTTTAGTATAATTTTGCATTTGCTTAAAAACAGAAGTAGTGAAAAGGGTACATTTAAGGTAATTGTGAGCACAATCTACAATAGTGATTCATGCCTTCACGCTACTGCATAGAAATATGTACTTTTCAATGAGAAACATGGTATGCAATTAAGTTGATTGGATATAATAATATGCAACGTACTGCAGCAATGTGAATCTCCATTATAAAAACCAAATATGTGATTTACCAGCTAGCTAGCTGGAATAGGCAGTGTACATTTAGAAAGAAATAAAAATCTAAAAAATATATTCTGCATAACCCTATCTCATACAGCTGTGATTTGGAAGAAATGTTTTAGATCTCTCACTTACTATGTACTCTTTGTAAATCTTTAATAACCTAATATTTTCCAGCTGCCATGTGAGCTCTCTCCTACCCCATGATACTGTTTTAAAGATTCCATACATTAAAGCTAAATTTTCAAGTTGAACTGGAAGCCTGAAAAAAGTCAACCTTCTTTATTGAATTACAGAGAGATGCTGTACAGGAAACTGTACTTCCCAATCATTTTTAAAACAAGCACAGGGATACCATTTTATCAATAAGTATCTTTACAGGTGCCCTGAATGGACTGATGCATGATCGGCTGTGCTGTATAAATTTAAGTCCATATTCCTTAAACTGCCTTTTAATCAATAAATTAATTAATGTCAGAAGACTTTGGCATGACATGCTTTGATATAATTGAATAATCTCATGCCACTTATTTATTTTCACCTCTTTGTGGGACATGGTTCACAAAAATAACCCATAGAGTCAACATGATTTTTGTTTTGAGAAATTAAATTGCTTTTTAAAAGTCAAACTTGAATGAGATGCTGCAAAATGTTGGAAGCAGCTTTTTCAGGATACTTTTTATTTAGCAGCATCATACTTGGGGGTCTACACAAAAGTCCCCCAAACAGATGGCTTTTCCATTCTAATAGACCTTGGAAAAACTTTTAGAACAATGTTTGCTTCTCTTCATCCACTATATCTGTAAGATAATCTACATAAACATTTGGAAAAAATAAGAAATTTTCAAAATGTTTTTCTAATACAAAGAGGAATCACAAATCTTTCTTGGAATTCTTGTGAAACTAATGTTGACAGTGGTTTCTATAAACACTGTAGTTTCAGAAATTATAGGGAGGCTGGAAAAGGATTAGAACTGGGAATAGACATGAACACTTAAGGAATGCTGGGTGAGACAATTGACAGCTTATGTTATAAACAGCAAGTTACTGTAGATCAGATGGGAGGAAGTTTGAGAAAAATTGCAAATTGAAGAGGCTCTACCTTAATTAGCTTCCCATAAATGAGAAATTCCTCATACATTTTTCTGTACTAATCCCAATATTATATGTACTTTTTGCTTCCTTGATATTGCCAGATGCATGGAGTTTGACATATGGGCCTAAATGGCACTACAGTAAAGATGTGCACATCTGAGTAGTGATAATGTCAAATACCTGTGATAATACACTGTAACAACAGAGGCCTTATAACTATATATAGGCTTTCGTGCAAACTGAATCCTGACAGAGGCTTACTGGAATCCCATGTGAATATGATTCAACATTAACTACAGTATTTTCTTTAGTGCTGGGGTCTTACTATATACTGTGCAGATAGTTATTGGCATGCAATATGAGGTGGGTGGAATATATTACTGCTGTTTTTCAGGTGAAGATTAACAGTACTTGCAATAACCAAGCAGAAGAATGAGAATTTTGTTGGAGAAGAATTCTACTGCATTATCTATTTTCCCAAAAGCCCTGAAGCAGAGTATAAAGATGAGAAAATATAAGAAAATGTGAAGTTCCGATTGGGAAATTTTAGTGAAAAACAGTTCCTCTTTGCAGTGAAAAAAAGTTCCTCTTTAGTGAAAAACAGTTCCTTTGTGCACCATTTCTGATCTCCACCAGGTTGGCAACTGTAGCTTTTATAAATGATCTCAAATATTTGAGGAGTCAGGCAAAAGATAAATTCCAGGAACAGAGAAACCAGAGTATTTCAGAACTATACCACACAGTTCTGGAAATAATCTAGAATACATGAATGAGGTGAGGGGGAAATCAACCTGTTTTGATAAATTTACAAAAGATGACCAATTGACTGGAACATTATCTTTTTGCTACCTCCAGATAGCATTCTCAATATACATCAGACCAGAACATTTAACTTTTTTCCTGAAATCACAGAGCATGAGTATATATATTTTTTCCTGTTTTCTTGAACAGGTAGCTGTCATTCTTCAGGGGAGGAGATCATAAATGAATATATCTGGTGAAGTATAACACCAAGCAGTTAATTTCATTCTTTTGGACAAGAAGGTAGGGAAGGAGAAAAGATTTTGAGGTAAAGAAGTTGGCAGTTGGCAAGCATGATTAATGGAAGAACAGAGAGGAGGAACCCTATTATTACTCCCATAAGAAAAGATGTATGGTAAGAGCTTCAAATCAGCTCCATTTTACATGCATGCAGTTGAAAGAGTTAAACAAATTCCTGAATCAAGAACACCTAACTACCAAACTCGAAAAGTTAGAGATTAGCTTTTCTTTCTGTGAATAAGTAATACTAATTTTAATTTCTTTCATTAAACTGGGACTTGCTTCACACCAGTAATAGCATCTCAGAAATGTTTTTTTAATCAAATTCTGATCAAATTAGCTTCTGCCAATTAATTTTAATATGCTTCACTGAGTGATTGATCACAAAATTATTCTTTATTTGTCAACACATTGCTATTTTCCTCCGTTTATCTCCTCATTATTTTGAGATCAAGTTTTTCTCTCTCCAAATGCCAGCTTTGAATTTTCTACTTTGACATAGTGGAAATCTGATATTTTCTCTCTGTACCCATTAATATATATATAGATAGCTATATAACTGAACATTATCCACATATTGATGATACCTCTCTCTAAGGTGACAGATGAGCTCACCCAGTGGTTTCAGGTAGATATTAAATCATCAGAAAGAACCTAGTCCTGTGACACCCCACAAAGTAGAAACCAAAGGCAGGACCTCTCCTTCCCAATCATCATTGATGAACATTGATTATGAAGGAACCACCACAGTATCATGCCTTGCATTTCCAATCCCCTAAGTCAATCCAGAATGATACCATAGTATTGAAAGCTCTCAAGAGGTCAAGTAGGGCAAGGATAAGATATACAACCCCTATCCTGCCCATGGCAGAGGTCATCCAAAACACAACCAATGCTGTTTCTGCCCCCTACTCAGGTCTCAGTCCAGACTGAAAAGGATCCACTTCCTCCAAGGTCCTCTGAAGTTGTTGCACAACCATCTTCTCTACTACCTTCTCAAAAAGGGGAGGTGAAAAAGAGGACAAAAATTATCCAGCATAATGGGATCCAGCGATGGGTTCCTGAGAAAGAGGAGAATCAAAGCCTAATGGCAAAAATAATCCTATGTTGATTGCATTCATTCATTCATTCATTCATTCATTCATTCATTCTTATTCCATCTTTATTATTTTATAAACAACTCAAGGTGGCGAACATACATAATACCTCTTCCTGTTCCCACAACAACCCTGTGAACTGGATTGGGGAGAGAGAGAGAGAGAGAGAGAGGGAGGGAGGGAGGGAGGGAGGGAGGGAGAGGAGAGATAGAGAGATAGAGAGAGAGAGAGAGAGAGAGAGAGAGAGAGCCTGCCCCAAAAACACCCAGCTGGCTTTCATGCCTAAGGCAGGACTAGAACTCACAGTCTCCTGGTTTCTAAGCGAGACCTAATCACTACACCAAACTGGCTCCCAGTAGCTTAAAAAAAAGCTTGCATGGACATACTCATATAGTCACAAGAAGTTACACTTTATCATTTGTTGTTGCTGTAATAAAATAAAATAAAATGAATTTATATTGAGCTTCCAAATTACAGTGTTGTGAACTGAAGCTTCTTCCCTTCATCTTCCCTTCCCTTTCTTTATTTAGTATTTTATTTATTTAGTCTTTTCTTTTTATACTGTACTGTTATATACTCTTATTTATTAGTAAAACATCACATACAATTGTATTTCAATTGTATCTTTGATCACATCAGTGGGGGGGGGCAACTTTTTGTCTTTGGATTTTTGGGAAGGTTGCAGACCAAAACAAAAATAAAAAAAATTAAATACAGTATTAAAGAGTAAAATAAACCAAAGGCAAAAACAACATCTATAGAGAATAAAAATTGGAAGTATGTGTATATGAATGTGTAGATATATACTGTATATACATGATTTTAAAGAGAAATATAATCCATGTTCAATATTTCTATCCATAATATTTATACAAAAGAGAATAATTATCAGATAATTTGTTATCAATGCAACTGATACTGTGAATAATTGTTTTTCACCATACAGTTTTCAAAGTTCATTGTTGCATTAATTTTACCTAGCATAATTTCCCACATTTTTAAATGTCACTGATCCAGTGAAAGATCACTGCTTCATTAACACTACCTGTCTGCAGCTAAGAAAAGAAACTATATCAGTTTTCTTTATGTGGCATTAATTTATATGTCCTAGGAATTGGTTGGGAACCAATAGCATGATTCATTATGAAAGTACATTGGTTATTTCCCCAATTTCTAAATAACCTTTTCATACAATTGACAGACTAATTTCACATAGCCACCTAAAATGTTTCAAATGTATAACACCACAATTCTAGAAATGTTACATTTTGTATAATTTAATTTTACCAGAATGTAGCATCCACTATGCCATAGTAGAAGGTGGCAACTGATCAACTTTGACTGGGCTCAGAAACTAAACAGACTCATGACTCAAGTCCAAGTATTTGGATTGGGAACCACTACAAATTTCA